GGAAAAGATGACTCTCTATTTCTATCGTCACTAGTTCCATTACGACTAGAAGACAATAACAAGAAAATATTGTGGAAGAATCCGCGACCATCATCCATACGGCTTTGTAGGCCAATTAGACAATGGGTTTATGAAAATAATAAAATTATAAAAAGCGAAGAGAAATATATTTCGGACCAAATAGAGAAACTTCAACCATACAATTTCAATTGTGGATTTATAAACTTTTCTCTTTATTTGGCAATGGTTGATGGAAAGGTTCTAAACTATTTTGTTTTCTTAGAACTTTATTTGAGTTGTTTGTTTATATTGTAGGTTTGTAATTCCTTAATGGACTCATCTGGCATGAAATGTTATATATGTAAAGCAAAAATCTCAGAGATGAATATCCTTAATGATTTGCGTGCAAGAACGTTAGGCCCAGAAGGTTTTAAATTTGGTCTGTCAGTTCTGCACGCTTACATTCGATTTTTTGAGTGTTTGCTTCACATAGCCTACAGACTAGAAATTAAAACTTGGAAAATAAATAGTTTATCATACATAGCTTTATGTGTAACACATGCCTAAAGATGTTTTATGTTCAGATTCCCAAAGCACAAAGAAGTAAACTGGAGGATCGAAAAATATCTATACAAGAAAAATTTCGTCGAACGTATGGGCTTTTGGTTGATGTACCTAAGCAAAACTATGGAACATCGAATGATGTAAATACTGCGCGACGATTTTTTGCTAATCCGGCATTATCGGCAGATGTTACAGGTAAGTTGCTAGATTATATTGTAAGTGTATAGAAATTAATTAATCGAATTTAATTGAAGGAATTGATGCGGAATTAATGCAGCGATTTGGAGTTATTTTGCGTATTATAAATAGTGGGTATAACATAAAAGAAAATGAGTTTGAAGCATATAATAATAATAATAATAATAATGCCTTTATTAACCCTTACAATTAGTGTACAAGTATATAAAAAAAGAAAATACAAAAACGTAATAATAATAAAAAATAAGTATAAAGTTACAAAAACAAAATTGCAAAAGCTAACAGGTGGCTGGGTCAGACAACACCACAAAGTAGTGAGGTCTGCTCTTCCCCCAGTCCCCATGAACACAACATATTGCTTCTAAGTAAGTAAGTAGTGAAAATGAATACAGCGCACAAGACAAAAAAATACAAAAAACAAAAATTGAATGCATGAATAAAGCAAATAACAAATAAAAATTAAAATTTTACTCTAGAAAACCTAAATTGATTCCATCTGCCGCTCACAGAGATATCGCTTGTATTTATATTTAAAACTCGACAGGTTCAATATTTTTAATGAACGAGGAAGGGTATTCCAAAAGTTTGTCACACAATAAGTGAAAGAATTCCGAAATGAAGCTGACACGTGACGAGGAACTGTAAGTGCATCTTTTCGATGAATATTGATATTGTGGAGGTCAGTACGATACGATATCTTCTTGCTCAGATAAACAGGTGTTTTTTTATTTAAAATTTTAAAATAAACTACCCCCCTGTGAAAAATGATCCTGTTATACATATTTAGCCACCTACATTCTTTTAACTTACGTGAAATTCTGCAGTACTTTCGAATTCCATAAATTAGTCTTAAGCACCCATTTTGGACATACTGTACCCGTCTTCCATTGTCCCCAGTTATGCAAGCACCATAGACCGAGTCACAATGATTAAAATTGGATAAAATCAAAGAATCAGTCAGTAATCTTTTACTGTTCTCATTTAATACATGCCGATATGGATAAAGGGATTTTAATACGCAATATGATTTCTGTAGTAACTTGTTTATATGTGAATTAAATTTTAAATCATCATCTATTAACAAACCCAAATTTTTCACAGTGCGTACGTGTTGTAGTTCTTGATTATTTACACAAATTTTAAGATTGTCATCAACAAATTTCCTATGATTTCTGTTACCAAATACTATCACATTAGATTTGCTGGAGTTTACTTTTAAGCCATGCGCCTCAGAAGTGTCAACAAGTGATTGCACATCAGAATTTATTTTGACAGCAGCAACATTAGTCTCGGTGTGAGGAAATGATATTAATAACTGAGTATCATCAGCATAAGCATGATATTCACAATGTTTCAAGCCCCTGTAGAACATACTAGTATAAACGATGAATAACAAAGGACCACATATACTGCCCTGAGGAACTCCTTTAGAGACAAATTCTGGTTTAGATAATGAGCCTTTAACTTTCGTATGTTGCCTTCTGTTCAGAAGATAATGTTTAAAAAAATCAATTGCCGTCTGACCGAGACCAATGTAGTGCATAATGCTTAACAACAAATGATGATTTATCATATCGAATGCTTTGGAATAATCTAATAATATCATTGCATGCATATTTCCCTTGTCGACACTCCGCAACACACCGTCCACAACATCCATTAGTACAGTATTGCAACTATGACCCGGTCTAAACCCTGACTGATTATCAGGTATGATGTCATAAAGCAATAGGTGTTCACGCAACTGAGAACAAACTATTTTTTCTAGTGTTTTAGAAAGAGCAGGTAAAATACTTATAGGTCTAAAATCAGTATAGTACTTAGGAGAGTTAACTTTCGGCAATGGAGTGNGACAGAAAGAATCATGACCTAATCCGGAATTATCGGCAGATATTACAGGTAAGTTGCTAGATTATATTGTAACTGTATAGAAATTAATTAATGGAATTTAATTGAAGGAATTGATGCGGAATTAATCCAGCGATTTGGAGTTATTCTGCGTATTATAAATAGTGGGTATAACATAAAAGAAAATGAGTTTGAAGCATATTGCTTTAGTACCGCAGAGAAGTATGTTAACCTTTATGGGTGGTACTACATGCCTACTAGCGTGCACAAAATTTTAATTCATGGTGCTGCAGTCATTAAAGAGTCGCTATTACCCATTGGAGAGCTCTCTGAAGAGGCTCAAGAGGCGAAAAACAAACAAGTACGTAGATTTAGAGAGTGTCACACAAGAAAATGTAGTAGACTTCAAACAAATGAAGATTTATTTAAAAGACTATTACTGAGCTCCGATCCATTTATTAGTAACTTTTATAAAGAATGTTCAGAAAGGTATAAAAATATGAATGAAGACATGAAAAATTTACTTATATTGGACGAATCTCTAGAAGAAAAGGAAGGTAAAGAAGAAGATGATGATGATGAAGAAAGTGAAGAAGAAAAAGACAATAATGATGAAGAAGTAAATATAGAGGAACAAGATCTAGAAAATGAAGAAGACTCACCCAAATTGAGATAAATTTTGTTATGTTGGTGAACATAACAAAATATTTTATATTATCTCGAATAATTTAATATGTATGTGGACTATGTCAGTATCATGGGAAAATTCTACTATAAGTAGGCTTCAAACTTACAAATTATGGTCTCCAACATCACTTCAAATTAAGAGCGATGAGTTTATTCTCGAACAATTATTAAAACATTGTTAGTAAAAGCAAGCTATCTAACCAACTAATTCTGCCACATTTTTATCACATTACCTTTCTGATAGGGTAAAAAAATATGGGGCGTTCCATTTAAAATTTTCTTTAGACTTTCTTACCATTGAATATGGAGAAACGGTAATTCAATTTTTGACCACCTTGTATAAGATACTTTAATACAAAAAATGACAATCTGTTTGACAACATCTCAAGAGTAATCGTGCAAATTTGGACCTTTTTTGAATGAACGTTGGCTGAGATATAGGGTTTTAAAGAGCATAAAGTAATTTGCCAAAGATAAACTTAAAAACAAAATAACGTGCATTAAAAACTATAGCATTTCATTTAAAATAACGAAGTTGTGGTCTACGTCCGGTAGACCGGAAGTGGCGGCCATCTTGAAAGTATTTTAGATCGAAAGCTTCGAATGAACAACACATGTTATCAAAATTTCAAACCGCTACGAATAGTGGTACCTAAAAAAGTTCTAACGAACCAGTTACGTGTATATCCTGTATAGGTCCTCTATAAAACAAGTTAGATAGGAATTTGCGGTCACGTAATTACACAAAAAAATGTGAAGTAATATATGTTTAATGTTTTGCACAAAATGTTATAGTAATATTGTTCTTTAAAGTCCTAATTTATATGTAAAGAAAATGAGTATGAATTTAAATAAAGTATTGCTTCCGTAGTACTACTTCCG